ATGATGCGAAGGTCGTATCCTACGTTACTCGCAGTTGCATCTGGTTGGGTCCTTCGCCAGGCAATTTTTTTCGCCCGGATCCGCTCTTGATGGCAGCGGGGCCCGAGCCTGGCCCCAAAGAGGGCCGAGACGACGAGGAACAAAAAGCTCCGGGATCGCAACACAGCCCCCCGTCGGAGATCTGGTGGCGGGGGGCGTCCCTGATGGCAGCGCGATGGCTCTACGAGAGCGGCCCTTCCGCCCCCGACTCTGCGGCAGGGCCGGCGCGCGCCCATGTCGGCCGCCCTCCCCGCGCGCGGCCGCCCTCCCTGCGCCGCGCGGCCCCGCTGCTGCCGGCACGGGCCCGGCGTGGCCGGGCGCGTGCCGCTCGTGGCGGCCGCGGCCGTGCGGAGCGGCCGCGTCGCCGCGGCGGCGGCCGGCGTGGCCGCCGCGGCGGCCTGCGGGCGGCGGCGCGCGGCGGCGCACCGGCGGTGCGCGCGCCCCGAGGCGGTGCTGGCCCTGGGGCTCGACGGCGTGCTGTGCGACGGCAGCCGCGAGGCCGCGTGCGCGGCGGCGTCCGCCGCGTTCGCGCTGTGGCCCCGCGAGATGGCGGCGGCCGGCGGCGTGCACGGGGAGGAGAAGACACCAATGCCGCCGCCACAGGGGCGACGCTGTGGGGGTGGATGGGCTCACGAGGGGGGATGCATGTTCTCCGCGTCGCCCACTGATCTCCGATAGAGAGCCGATGGCCCACCCCCCGCCCATGAGCGAGCGGTTTGGCCTTCCGAGGAGGAGGAGGAAAAGATACTGATGCCGTTGCTCGCCCTGGAGAGCTCCCGTCGCCACGGCTGCATTCTCCCCGAGATCCCTGCCAGAGTGCGCCCCGCGAGAGGTCTGGGGAGCAGCGGTATCGGTACCCGGTGGTCCCCCCCAGGCGTGGCCCGGGGCGACGCGGGGGTGCGGGCCAGCTGGGTGGACTACGACTGGAGCCGCTACGCCAGGCAGAGCTCCGAGGAGGGGGGGGGCGGCGAGGCCGCCGGGGCTGCCGGGACGGGGGGCGCGGCGCCGCTGTGGCTGCTGGAGAAGACGAGGCGTCTGCGGAGCTGCTGCGAGGCGGAGTGGGAGCTGCCCCTGCTCGCGAGGCTCTGCGTGGAGGAGGCCGCCTCGTGCCAGCGGTCCGCCAGCGGGCAGCGCCCGCTGACTGTGGGCGAGATCTCCGCCAACTGGCGGCGAGGTTCTGGCCTGCTCGACGCGCTCCTGGTGCGCTGGGGCGCGCGCCGGGAGGCCTGCGAGGCGGCCATGGCCGAGGCCCGCGCGAGCGGCGACCACCGCGAGGGCGACGCCAAGAGGTGGACCTTCTTCCCCGGCGTCCTCGAGGCCGTCCACGTCGCCGCGGCGTGCGGCGCCGTCCGGCGCGGCGTGTACGTGCTGACCAGCCGGGCCCAGCGGTCCGCGAGGGACACGCTGCTGGCGGCCGAGAGGAGCCTGCTCGAGGCGTTCCCCGACTCGGCCCTGGCGCGCGCGGCGGAGGAGGCCCGCCGCGCCGCGAGCCAGGGCGGCGCCCCGCCCGCCGCGGGCGCGGGGGCCGAGGGCGCCGCGCGGGGCGGCGGGGAGGCCGCGGGCGGCTGGCGGCTCATCGGCAGCCTCGGCGGCGCGGAGGAGAAGGCCCAGGCGCTGCAGCGCGTCGTGGAGAGGCACCCCGCCGCCGAGGTGCACTACATCCCCTGACCTTCCAGAGAGCTATTTTTTAGCACTGGAAACCTAAAAACCTAAAAAACGAGACGAAACAGCCTAAAACCAAGACGTAAAATAGCTCTGGGATAGGTTTTTACGTCGGGTGCTATTTTTTAGCCCTCCTGGAAGGTCAGGGTCCGCGGGGGGCGTCGGCGGGCGGCCTCTCCCCGATCCCGGCGGGCCCCGGCGGGCCGGCCCGGGGCCCCGGGCCGGGCAGCGGCGTCTGCGCCTCCGTGGCCGAGCCGGGAGCGCGCGAGCGCCGCGCCCGTTCTGGCCCCAGCGCGCTTCGGCGCGGCGCGCGAGCCACGTCGCGGCCCCCGAGCGTCAAAGGTCCGAGCCTCTCCCAGCCTCCCGCCCCGCGGAGCGGAGCGACACCGGATCCGCTCGCAGGGCAGAGCGTGTCGCCAGGGCCGCCGCCGCGTGCACGCTGAGCAACAGTTCCAGATATGATGGCGTCGTTAAAAAGTCAGGACGGGGGGGGGTCGTAATTTTCGACCCCTATAGAGGCCCTCGCCGGGCCCCAGGACCGTCAAAAAACGACTCAGGATGAAAAACTGGTCTTGGGGAAAGGGTCGGGAACTTCCAGGGGCGCCGTCCTGAAAAAATCAGTGCGTCGCATGTCTGGGCTTCCCGACGGTATGCGCTCGCCCTGGGCCCAGGATGAGCCCGGCTGGGATCGGTGCGCGGTGGGGTCGGCTGGCGCCCCCCGACCGTCGACGACTCGGTCGCCGCCCTGCGCGCGGCCTCGCGCCGCCTGCGCCTGGGGGCCACGCGGCTGCACTACGCCTCGTGGGGTCCGGTGGCCCGGGGCACGTCGTGCGAGTGGGCGGACAGCAGGGCGCTGCTGCCGCGCGTGGGCGAGCTCAGGTCGCCCGAGGACCTGGAGCAGGCGCTGTGGGCCGCGGCGCGGCGGTGACGGCGGCCGCCGCGGGCGCTGCCGGGGCCAGCCCGCGCATGCCAGCTGCCGGGAGGCCGAGTTGTGACAATCGGCGGCGAGCGAGGGGGGCAATGGGAAGGAGAAGGCCTTCTCAGAAGGCAGCGGGACTGCTCAGAAGCTCTCGCCACTTCTGGGAAGCTTTTCTGTCTGCGGGGAAGGGTTGGAGGACTTCTCAGGAGGCCAGGGGGCGTCCGAGACTTCTGAGAAGGCCTTCTCCTTCTCATTTCCCCTCTGGGCTCGCCGCCGAGGCAAGGGTAGTTGGCCTTCCCCCCTGTTCGTCGCTACGGCTGGACGCAGGTCCGATCACTGGTGCGGTTGGAACCGAGAGGGGTCCGAGGGCCGACTCTGAGCTGCCGATGTCTCGACTCGCCCTACTCCGAACGGCGAAGGGGCCGTGGCGGGCGGTGCTTCGGGCGGCACCGACGGCCAGTGCCATCTCGCGCCTGGTTCCTGCCGGTCACGCTGTCGCGAGTGCGCCTGGCGGGTCGGTGCGTCACGCTTCGCCGCCCAGCGAAACTGCTCGGGAGCGGGGGGCTGGGAAAGGACGGGGACCAGCGGACCACCACCTCTGACTCGGGAAAACGAAATCCATATGAGGGCGTCGCCACATCGCACAGGATTGTCTACACGTGGTCTGCAGGTGCCCGAGTGCAGTAGCCGACCCGCCGCGCAGAGGACTTGCCGCCTCAGTCGCCCCACAAAGGTCCAGCTCGTTTCCTCGAGGTCGTGTGCTGCTCTTTCAGTCTTGTGAATTACGGAGGGCCTGAACTCGCAGATCTGAGCGCCTCGCGGGGGTGCTCCCGTGAGCACCAGGGAGGAGGCCCGGACGCGGGTTCGGCGCCGGGAGTCCTGTTCCCTCTGCTCCATGCCCGGCATGAAAGGCCAGACACCGGACGCGATTCTTCCGCAGCGTGGCTGCCCAGACATAGAGGCCTGGGCCTCTTCCGTTCGTCTCGAGGGTCTTGTCGTGGACGGCCCCAGGGCGCCAGTCAGGTCCTGTGGAGGGCCAACTCTGCCCAAGGCTGTCCGCCGTGCTTCACTTTTCGCCACGCGAGGGTGTCAGGGATCGCATAAGAAGGCTTCGGGTTGCGCACGCATGGCCCCCCACGTAATGGAGGATGACGATTAATAAACGACTGGGGGTCGTGTTCACGCGGCGGCGCCCGGGATGACGATTAGAAAAAACTGGCCGCGGGCTGGAAAACTATTTTCTGTAATCGTTCTCCGCCAGTGAGAAAATTGTACAGAAATGACAGAAAACTATGTTTTGAATCGTTCCCCCCTCATTTTTCCCTACCTAGGCTCTGCCTAGAAGGGTTCTTACTCTCTTAGCTTAAAGGGGCCGGGCAGTGGAAAGCGCCCCGGGCGGTTCCCCCAGTCCCCTGGGAGCGGTTCCCCCCAGTCCCCTGGGAGCTTTAGCTTTAGCTTTAGCTTTAGCTTTAGCTTAGCTTTAGCTTAGCTGTAGCTTAGCTTTAGCTTAGCGCTTCGCTTAGCTTTTCGCTTAGCGTTTAGCTTAGCATTAGCTTAGCTGTAGCTTAGCTTTAGCTTAGTTTGAACGTAGCTGTAGCTTAGCTTTAGCTTAGCTTTAGCTTAGCTTTAGCTTAGCTTTAGCTTAGCTTGAGCTTAGCTGTAGCTTAGCTTTAGCTTAGCTGTTGCTCAGCTTTAGCTTAGCTTTAGCTTAGCCTTAGCTTAGCTTTAGCTTAGCTTTAGCTTAGCTGGAGCTTAGCTGGAGCTTAGCTTTAGCTTAACGTTAGCTTAGCTGTGGCTTAGCTTTAGCTTAGCTTTAGCTTAGCTTTAGCTTAGCTTTAGCTTAGCTTTAGCTTAGCGTTACTGTTACTACTAATGCTGCTTTCCTAGGGGTTCCAACTCCTAGGTAGGGTCGCACTGGGATAATTTTATTAATCGTCATCCAGCATTAGTCCCCGCTGGCCTAAACAGGTCCTCCCAGTTCTTCAGGGCGATCTCGACACCTCGACCAAGAGCGTCCCAGGGGCGCCGCCGCATGGGGCGCCAGTCTGTTGAGACCGACCTTGGCTGGTCGGGGGGGATCTGCCGAGACACGCAGGGACTACCATTACCAGTTTGAAACATATCCCTATCCCTATGTTGGACATCACCTCACCTCGATGCCGATCTTAAGGATTCCCTCAGTTTCTGAGGGCCTATCCCTAAGATTGTCCTCGCTTTTTGCTCGCCCGTCTTAGGGATAGGGATAAGTTCGAGGCTGGTTAACTATACCAGGGGGGGGGTACTGCAACACAGAGCCTTGCCATAACGGCATCGCTTGGGAATGTCGGGCGCGCCCGCGCTGTCGGCGCCCCCTCGCCCTCCGCCCCGCCCGACCTCCGAGGAGCACGGTCGGCAGCAGCTTCGGCGCCGCAGCGCCGAGGCGCGCTCTCGCCGCCGCCTGCTGCTGGGGAGGACCATGTTTCAGAGCGAAGGGAAGAGGAATGAGGGTCCTGAGGGTCCTGAGTTCTGGACGCCCGAAATGGGTACGGAAAGAATGGGTACAGTGCCCAACAGCAATACATTGTTAATTTTGAACAGGACTCGCTGTCCGCGCCGCCGCGGCCCGTGTCCATTCGAGACAGAAGGCCGCCGGCCCAACAGCGGCCGCTGTTGGTCTGGGACAGCATTTGTTGTTGGGCATTGCATCCATTCTTTTTCCGTACCCCGTTCGGGCGTCCAAATGAATCGCGATGGTAAGCAAGTGCCTTCTCCGCAAACAGACAGTGCCGACTCTCTCAGGCCAGGGCGGGGTCCTCTCGCGCTCCACCGGCGCCTCATTGGGAACAGCAGCCGTGCAGCTACAGTGGGCGGCTCGGGAGGCGTCGAAGCGGGGCAGGCTCACCACGCCAAAGCTCCTCTCCGCACCTGCGTCGGCCGAAGCGGATTACCCTTCGTGCTACAGCCACGCTATCTTCAAGAGGGAAAGAAACACACAGACACAATTAATCGGCGATTTCCCAGAAAATATGGGAACATATGGGAAGTGGGGGGGAAGACACAAACCCAGAAAATATGGAAAAATATGGGGGATAATTTTATTTGTGTGTATTTATTTGTGTGTCCCAATTCCCCTTCATACAGCCACGCTATCTGGTTCCCCCTCGCACTCAAGCAAACGGTCCATGATTGCTTTGATCGCACCCGACGGCCTGGCGGCAGGGCCTGTTGTGGCCTTTTTCCGACCTCGTGGCCAGGAAGCAGGCCACGGCGCAGCCTCGAACGTTGTGTCCGAAGGCCTGGATGTCCTGGGCCTCGACCAAGAGGCCCCGTGCAGCCTTACGCGTCGCTGCCCCGCGCAACTTGAAAGAGAGCGGATCGAGTAGCATCCCTCCCGACTCATCCTGCACGGAAGCCTGAACCACCGAGTGCCCACGGCCCATGGATGGTCCACGGCACCACGGCTGAAGCAAGGAAGGTTTGAGGAGGAGTTGGAGGCGGAGGCGAAGCGAGGGGAGGGCCCCGAGGTCCTCTCGGCGCCAGGACTCCGCTCCAGCGGTTGCACACTTGCCTGCTCGCAGGCGCAGGCCTCCAAAAGGTCCTGGGAGAAGCCATCGTCGAATCCAATGTCAGCGGTAACGCCAATACCATTTGAATCAGGTTGCTCCAAGGATACGAAAGCAAGATAGGGCTCGACCATGCCACACAGCACAGTCTCTAGCAATGCGCTCGCAAACTGAAGCGCAGAAAGGCCAATGCTCTGGGATCCGTAGAGCAGGGTGCCTTCCTTGGCGCACTTGTCTGCCAGGCCAGATGTCTTCTGCGAGCAATCTACACGCCGTGATCGTTTAAAGCGGGCGGCTCAGGAGTGTTGGATTCCATTTTGTGGACTTGGGCCTGGCGACCACTGCCGGGCCACCACTCCCTCCAAGGGGTGTTGCCTGGCACTGTCATGGCCGCAGGTTTATCCGGGCGGTGGCGCACCCCATTCGCAGAAGACCTTCCGGGGATGTCAGGGGTGCCACTCCGGAAGTCGTCGTCTCCTAGCTGCGTGGTGCGGGGGGCAAGCCAGGAGGACCACCCCAGACGTGGCTGCCCGCACAGCCTACCACCACCACCGCCCATCCCGCCCTACTCAGGCTGGCGTGGGCTGCGTCAAACAGCAGTTTCATCGACGAAAGCATGTGCCCCAAATTTCCGTCCGGGTCAAAACCAACCAGGCGCAGCCAGTTTTCTTCAGTAGCTTCACGATGGGGGTGGGGGGGGAAGCAGTGCCTGAGCGAGGGCCAGAGACCGCGACACAACAATGCGCCGACAAAAACCTTACCTCTGAACGCCCCGAGCATAGCAGGGCAATCCTCGCTTCGCACGGCGCCGAGTCTCCGGCAGTCTTGACATCGACGGGGCAACGAGCCTCGTGCTCCACAGTGGGCGCGGCGGTCGTGCAGGACCTTGATCATGCAACGCGGCTTGGGGCCAAGGGTTGTTCCCCACAAGCGATCGCATCGCAGAGCACCTGCGCTCTGTCCAGCCCGCCGGGCACGACCTGCTCATCAACACGGAGACTGGCGCCCAGTGGAGAGGCGAAGCCCAGACGCCTTCCAGACGCCTGAGCGCTGAACCATCTGACGCCGAAGGCACAGACTCGCGGACCAAGCTCCTGAATAATCCCAACAAGGTATGAGGGATGTCCGACTCTCTCCCAAGAAGGTTTGGTCGCGTCCATCCTGGACAAGGAGAGCAATTCGCCTGGGCGGAATCCGCCGCCTGAGATAGAGCCCAGCCAGAGGCAGGATGGCCTGGCCGGCCTCCAGACATGCTGCCCTGGGCCCCCCCCGCCAGGGAGAGGGGGCACGACAAACAGGGACCAATGCTTGATAACTTCTACGGCGTGGACCGCCCACGCCCCCCCAAAGGCAGTCTAGGGCCTAGGCGCCCAGGCGTCGCTCGCAGCCGAAGGGCCGCCGACGTCCCAGGAGGAACGCGGCCCTCCGTCAGGAGGGCCGCGACCCGAAGATAATGCAAGTCAGCTTGTTGTCGCTCAGGCCAGTGACAGCCGATCCCCCGACGGCCGTCGCCGTGGGAGAGCACCTCACGACCGTGCCAACACTGGCCCCATCTTGTCTGAGCTGGCCTACGTGCAGCTCTGGCCTTCGCAAGCCTTTTGTCTTGCTTCTGCACGCTACGGCTGGCGCCGCTGCGGACATCCGTCCCGAGACAATCCGACCCTGGCTCCTGCGCTGCGCCAGGCCCTGATCCACCTCGGCAGTGCTTGTCACAGATCCAGTATTGTGTTCTTCTTTTCGAGGCGGGCCACAAGATCCCCAGTCGCCCTTCACCGTAACGGCGGTGGCTCAAGCTTCAAGAGGCCCGGCCGCAACTCCGCCTCGGCTCGGTATCGTTTAACCGATCCCCATCCCCATCCCCATCCCCTTCGAGACCCGCGCCAAATTGCCACCCCAGTTGGGGGCACACGCCTCGAAACCCGAAGGGAACGACCTATATCCCCATTCAGGGGGGCTGCGTCGGCCAGCGGGGGGGCCCAGGCCACGCCGCTGGGGATGGGGATCGGTTTACCAACGCTCATCGGCTGAGGTGCGGGGCCCCGAATGCTCGGGCCTGAGCCTGCGGCCCGCTGCCCCGCGCGGCCTGCCCGCCGCGCCCGCAGCTGACGCGCGGGGGCTGCGTCGCTCCCCGTTGCCCGGCCCGCCCGGCGCGCCGGCCCCGGCGCGGCGGCGGGCGATTCAGAGGAGGAAAAGGTGCCCCTACCTCTGCCCTCCCCTGGTTTCCCCCTTTTTGGGCCTCCTGGGCGGTCCCCCTCGTCGCCGCCGCTGGAGTCGCTCACCACCCACCAAACCACCCCAAGCCAACCCGAAGGCTCAAATTTACCCTCGATTTCCAGTGGGGGGTCGGGAAACATCGAAAAATCACATGTGGAACCCTTGCCCCCCCCAACCCGAAATTCGGGTCTTCGGGTTGGGTTGGGGTGGTCTGGTAGGTAGTCATTCGCTTCGAAATCCTCGTGGCATCGGTGCCTCTTGAGATCCCCAGCCGCGCCTGCGAGGCCGGCGACGGGGGCCGCGCGGGCGGAGGGCGCCTGCAGTTCGGAGGGATGCGGCTCGGATGCGCGCTCCCTTCTTTCAGGAGGGGAAAAAGCACACAGACACAATTAATCGTCGATTCCCCGGAAAATATAGGAAATTATGGGAAGTGGGGGGGGAAGACAAAAACCCAGAAAATATAGAAAATATTGGGAATCTGTTTATTTGTGTGTATTTATTTGTGTGTCCTGGGGCCCCTTCATTCTTGCCGGGGGTCTTGGCGGGCGCCGCCTCCGCGATCCCGGCGCCTTCCTGCCCGCAGAGCCTGCGGGCCGTGATGCGGGCAGCCGGCAGGCAGTCAGATGGCGAAGATGAGCTGGCGCTACCTCCTGCGCCGCGCTGGCGGCCAGCTGCTGCGGCACCGGCGCGCTCGGCTGGCGAGCTGCGCGCGGCGGCCGCGCTCGACGGCCGCGCGCGCGACGAGGCCGGGGCCCCCGTGGCCTCCCAGCCCAGAGCGCCTCGGGGCAACTTGCCCGAGGCGCAGGGCGCGTCGCCTCTGGCGCGAGCCGACTGCGGCGCGGGGCGCGGGGTTCCAGCGGGCCGCCGAGGGCGAGCCGCGTTTCCTCGACAGGGCCGCGGGCGGGCGCGCTCGCGTCACGGGCGGCGCGCCGGAACTGCCAAGGGAGGGGGGGGGGCGCGCGGGCCGAGATGGTGGACGGCGTTGCTCGCGGAGATTTCGCCAGCGATAGGGACTTGCCTTGGCCCTGGTCGGCTTTGTCTGGAGTTCGTGAACCAGGATGGACTCTGGCGCGACGGGCGTCGCGAGTGCTTCCGCAGCGCGTGGAAGGTGCTCGAGCTGGGGCGTGCCCGAGCGCGGCAACGTCGCGCGGGCGCTGAAGTTAGGGCTCCTGTACGACCAGCCGTATGGGCGCAGTGCTACGATGGCAGATTCAATGTTCCGTCGCCTCCAAACGATGGAGCTCGAACGCTCTGAGCTGGGCGCGGGGGGGGGCTGAGCCTCGAGGAGCAGGTGGCCTTTTCTTCAGGGACCTCCCGCGCCGCGGGCTCCTCGATGATCTGCCCGCTGCCGTTGGATTGCGCCGGGGGCGAGGTTGGGCGCGATGCCCCGCTCGCCAAGAACCTCTGCAGGGCGATGGGGGGCGGGGGCGCGAGCCCGCCCGCAACAAGGACGTCCTGGTTGCCTGGCGCGCGTCGACCCCCCGAGGTCCACGCCCATTCCCCGGGGCCAGCGTTTCATCCTGAGTCGTTTTGCGAAGGCCCCGAGGCTCGGGGAGGGCTCCCAGAGGCCGAACATATGGAAAAGAAACGCCCGCCATCGTGGTGCTTGAACTTTGTTTTACATCCCCCATCGCAGTCTGTTTGCCGCTCTTCTCCCCTCTGT